CCCCCCCTCCTTCCCCTCCCCGCGCTCACCGGCGGCTCGCGAGGCGGCCCAGGCGCTCCCTGCCGGCCGGGGAATGGCGCTGATGTCGCGATAGCGCGGCGGCGGTGTCGCGATAGCGTGGCGATCGGCGGGGGGCGCCGCCGCCGCCGCTTTCTTCAACCCCCCCACCCCAATTCCTTCCTTCGGCGCCGACTCGGCCTCAGCGGCATCCAAGATGGCGGCGGCTCCCTCAGGCTTGCCGCTCCGCCCCGCCCGCGCGCCCCGCCCCGCGCCGCGCGCCCATTGGGCGAAGCGCGTGCCCGTCAGCTAAACGCGCGCGGTGATTGGGTAAAAGCAATGGAGGGCGGGACGAAAAGCGGAGCGCGCCCGCCTCCTCGCGGCGCTGTCAATCAACGCATCCCCGCACTCCCATTGGCGGAGCAGTGTTTATAGCGGAAAAGGGGCGGGGTGCGGCCAAAGCCACGCCCATAAGGCGGGACAAGGCGTACAAGGCTCCTTCTCATTGGTCAGCAACGCCGTCACTCAGAGCGTGGCGGGAGTGGGCGCCGCCTCCTCTGATTGGCCGAGCCATGTCGCGAGGGGAGGGGCCACGCCGGGTCTCTTCTCCTATTGGCTGTTTCTTCGCGCGGGGGAGCCAATAACCGCCGGCCGCACGCAGGGGGCGTGGCCAACGGGCTGAGATGTCACTCAAAGTGGAGGCAGCCAATAGGAGGCTGAGGTGGTAAAAGGGCCCGCCCAGGTGGGCGGGGCTTCCCAAAATCCCTCAAAAAAGGGCCCAAAATCTGCCCCCAAAACCCCAAAATCCGCCCCAAAAACTCCCAAATCTGCCCCAAAAACTCCAAAATCTGCTCCAAGAACTCAAAATCTGTCCCAAAAACCCCAAAATCCGCCCCAAAAATGCCAAAATCTGCCCCCAAACCCCCAAAATCCGCCCCAAAAAATTCCAAAATCCACCCCAAAAACTCCAAAATACGCCCCAAAAACCCCAAAATCTGCCCCAAAACTCAAAATCTGCTCCAAAAAAACCCGAAATCCGCCCCAAAATTCAAAATCCACCCCAAAAACGCCAAAATCCACCCCAAAAATGCTAACATTTTGTCCCAAAAACCCCCAAATCCCCCAAAATCCGCCCCAAATCCTTCCAGAACCATCCAAGAGGGAACCCCGACATCCAGGGCCCCCCAAATCCTTCCAGGACCCCCCAAATCCGGGACCCCCCCCTCAATTCCCCCCAAAACGCTCCAGTACAAAAAAATTCCAATATTTATAGAAAGTTCAGGAAAGAAACACAAACGGGGGGGGCCCTCCCCACCTGCAGGGGGGTGAAGGCCACGCTCGAGGCCGTGCCCGAGCTCCGGTCCCGGATGGTGGATTTGCCGCCGTACACCACGCTCTGCTTCTGCAGCGTCCTCTGCGGAGCGTTCGTTAGCGGTTAACGACGCTAATTAGGGCCGGGAGGAGTTAATTAATTAAGCCGAGGGGGGGGTCAGGCACCTGCAGGGTTTTGCTGATCCGGGCCTTGGTGGCCTCGTTGACCTGGGTCTGGCGCACGCGGCCGCTGCCGGCCTTGCCCAGGTGGCCCAGGCTGAAGCCCAGGTCCTCCTGGTAGGCGTCCTCCTCAATCTGAGGGGAAAACGGGGTTAAAAATGAGAAAAACGGGAAAAAATGAGTGCAAAATGGGATTTGAGGGGGTTAAAATGGGGTTAAAGGGGGCAAAATGGGGTTAAAGGGGGCGAAATGGGGTTTGGGAGTCCCAGGAGGCCCAGGCCGAAGCCCAGGTCCTCCTGGTAGGTGTCCTCCTCGATCTGAGGGGAAAACGGGGTTAAAAATGAGAAAAACGGGAAAAAATGAGTGCAAAATGGGATTTGAGGGGGTTAAAATGGGGTTAAAGGGGGCAAAATGGGGTTAAAGGGGGCGAAATGGGGTTTGGGAGTCCCAGGAGGCCCAGGCCAAAGCCCAGGTCCTCCTGGTAGGCGTCCTCCTCGATCTGAGGGGAAAACGGGGTTAAAAATGAGAAAAACGGGGAAAAAGGAGTGAAAAATGGGATTTCAGGGGGTTAAAATGGGGTTAAAGGGGGCAAAATGGGGTTAAGGGAGGGAAAATGGGGTTTGGGAGTCCCAGGAGGCCCAGGCTGAAGCCCGGGTCCTCCTGGTAGGCGTCCTCCTCGATCTGAGGGGAAAACGGGGTTAAAAATGAGAAAAAGGAGAAAAATATATTATAAAATGGGATTTGGTGGGGCTAAAATGCAGTTGAAGAGGTTAAAATGGGGTTAAAGGAGGGAAAAAGGGGTTTGGGAGTCCCAGGTGGCCCAGGCAGAAGCCCAGGTCCTCCTGGTAGAAGTCCTCCTTGATCTGAGGGGAAAATGGGGGTAAAAATGGGTAAAAAGGGAAAAAATGTGTAAAAATGGGTAAAATAATGGGATTTCGGGGGTTAAAATGGGGTTAAAGTGGGAAGAATGGGGTTTGGGGGTCCCAAGAGGCCCAGGCCAAAGCCCAGGTCCTCCTGGTAGGCCTCCTCCTCAATCTGAGGGGAAAATGGGGTTAAAAATGAGAAAAACGGGAAAAAATGGGTAAAAATGGGCAAAATAATGGGATTTGGGGGGTTAAAATGGGGTTAAAGGGGGAAAAGTTTGGGTTAAAGAAGGAAAAATGGGGTTTAGGAGTCCCAGGCAGAAGCCCAGGTCCTCCTGGTAGGCGTCCTCCTCAATCTGAGGGGAAAACGGGGTTAAAAATCAGAAAAACAGGAAAAATATATCATAAAATGGGATTTGGTGGGGTGAAAAGGGAAAAATTGAGGTTAAAAATAGAGGAAAATGGGGTTTGGGAGTCCCAGGAGGCCCAGACTGAAGCCCAGGTCCTCCTGGTAGGCCTCTGGCTATATCTGAGGGAAAAACAGTGAAAAATGGGATAAAAAATGGGAAAAATAGGTAAAAAGAGATAAAAACAGGTAACAGAATGTGATTTGGGAGCGTTCAAATGGGGTTTAGTGAGGAAAATTTGGGTTAAAGAGAGAAAAAATTTGGTTTGGGGGTTACAGGTGGCCCAGACCAAAGCCCAGGTTTTCCTGGTAGGCCTCTTCCTTGATCTGAGGGAAAAAATTGATAAAAAATGGGAAAAATTGGTAACAATAGGTAAAAATGGGTAAAAATACATAAAATAACGGGATTTTGGGGTATTGAAATAGGATTTAATGAGAAAATTATGGTTAAAGGGGGAAAGTGCAAAATGGGATTTGAGGGGGTTAAAATGGGGTTAAAGGGGGCGAAATGGGGTTAAGGGAGGGAAAATGGGGTTTGGGAGTCCCAGGAGGCCCAGGCCGAAGCCCAGGTCCTCCTGGTAGGTGTCCTCCTCGATCTGAGGGGAAAATGGGGTTAAAAATGAGAAAAACGGGAAAAAATGGGTAAAAATGGGCAAAATAATGGGATTTGGGGGGTTAAAATGGGGTTAAAGGGGGAAAAGTTTGGGTTAAAGAAGGAAAAATGGGGTTTAGGAGTCCCAGGCAGAAGCCCAGGTCCTCCTGGTAGGCGTCCTCCTCAATCTGAGGGGAAAACGGGGTTAAAAATCAGAAAAACAGGAAAAATATATCATAAAATGGGATTTGGTGGGGTGAAAAGGGAAAAATTGAGGTTAAAAATAGAGGAAAATGGGGTTTGGGAGTCCCAGGAGGCCCAGACTGAAGCCCAGGTCCTCCTGGTAGGCCTCTGGCTATATCTGAGGGAAAAACAGTGAAAAATGGGATAAAAAATGGGAAAAATAGGTAAAAAGAGATAAAAACAGGTAACAGAATGTGATTTGGGAGCGTTCAAATGGGGTTTAGTGAGGAAAATTTGGGTTAAAGAGAGAAAAAATTTGGTTTGGGGGTTACAGGTGGCCCAGACCAAAGCCCAGGTTTTCCTGGTAGGCCTCTTCCTTGATCTGAGGGAAAAAATTGATAAAAAATGGGAAAAATTGGTAACAATAGGTAAAAATGGGTAAAAATACATAAAATAACGGGATTTTGGGGTATTGAAATAGGATTTAATGAGAAAATTATGGTTAAAGGGGGAAAAATGGGGTTTGGGAGTCCCAGGAGGCCCAGGTCCTCCAGGTAGGCCTCTTCTATAATCTGAGGGGAAAATGGGATTAAAAATGGGAAAAAACGGAAAAAAACGAGTAAAAAATGGGATTTTGGGGTCCCAGGAAGGTAAAAAATTATATTTGGGGGATTTAATTAGCGTTAATTAGGGTTAATTACCTCCCCAAAGCTCATCCTGTTGGCCTGTTTGCGGATCTCCGTCAGCCCCAGGCGTTCCTTCATCTTCCGGTAGCTGCGTTAATTAGGGACTAATTAGGGGTTAATCAGGAGGTATTTAGGGGTTGATTACATGGCTAATTGGGAAGCAATTAAGGTGTTGATTGGAGGTAATTACACAGTTGATATGGGGTTAACTGGGGACTAATTGGGGCTTAATCATGAAATAATCAGGGGTTCATCAAAGATTAATTAGGGCTTAATTGGAGCATAATCAGGGATTAATTGGGACTTAATTACAAAGTAATTAGGGGTTAATCAGGGATTAATTAGGTCTTAATTGGGTATTAATTAGGGATGAATATGGGATTAATTTGGTCTTAATTGGTGATTAATTAGGGGCTACTCAATGATTAATCGGTGATGAATTAGGGGCTAATCAATGGTTAATTGGGGATTAATTGGGGCTAAATCAGGGATTAACAACCCCTTAATTAGCCCTTCATTAGGGCGCTAATTACAGCTGAACTGGGATTTACCTGGAGCCTCGCTTAGCCCTCAACCAGTGACTAACCAGGAGCTAATTAGGGACTAATTAAGGCTAATTAATGCTAATTAACTCACCGCCGGCCCCCCCTCTTCTTCCTCTGCCCGTCCAGCGGCGCCGGCAGCGGCTTCACCTGCTTGACCGGGGGCGGCTCCTGCCACTTGTCGAACTTGCGCTCGATCTCCTCCTTCAGCTCATACCCCACCTGGAATTCCAGGAAATTTTGGGAATTTTGGGGCAATTCCCAAAATTCTGGGGAAATTCCCAAAATTTTGGGGGGATTTTGAGAGGATTTGGGTGGTTTTTAGGGGGATTTGGGGGGATTTTAGGGGCTCCTGCCACTTGTCGACCTTGCGCTCGATCTCCTCCTTCAGCTCGTCCCCCACCTGGAATTTGGGGATTTTGGGCAATTTTGGGAATTTTGGGGCAATTCCCGACATTTTGGGGAAATTCCCAAAATTCTGGAGGGGTTTTGAGGGATTTTGAGAGGATTTCGGGGCATTTTCAGGGGATTTTAGGGGCTCCTGCCACTTGTCGACCTTGCGCTCGATCTCCTCCTTCAGCTCGTCCCCCACCTGGAATTTGGGGATTTTGGGCAATTTTGGGAATTTTGGGGCAATTCCCAACATTTTGGGGAAATTCCCAAAATTCTGGAGGGATTTTGAGGGATTTTGAGAGGATTTTGGGGCATTTTCAGGGGATTTTAGGGGCTCCTGCCACTTGTCGAACTTGCGCTCGATCTCCTCCTTCAGCTCGTACCCCACCTGGAATTTGGGGATTTTGGGCAATTTTGGGAATTTTGGGGCAATTCCTAAAATTATGGAGCAATTCCCAAAATTTTGGAGGGATTTAGGGACATTTTGAGGGTTTTTAGGGGGATTTTTGGGGGATTTTCAGGGGATTTTAGGGGCTCGAACTTGCGCTCGATCTCCTCCTTCAGCTCGTACCCCACCTGGAATTCCGGGGATTTTGGGGCAATTCCCAACATTCTGGGGAATTTCCCAAAATTTTGCAGGGATTTTGGGACATTTTAGGGTTATTTTATGGGGATTTTTGGGGCATTTTTAGGGGATTTTAGGGGCTCCTGCCACTTGTCGAACTTGCGCTCGATCTCCTCCTTCAGCTCGTACCCCACCTGGGAATTTGGGGATTTTGGGGCAATTCCCAAAATTCTGGGGAAATTCCCAAAATTTTGGAGGGATTTTGGGACATTTTAGGGTTATTTTATGGGGATTTTTGGGGAATTTTTAGGGGATTTTAGGGGCTCGAACTTGCGCTCGATCTCCTCCTTCAGCTCGTACCCCACCTGGAATTTGGGGATTTTGAGAATTTTGGGGCAATTCCCACACAGATTTTAGAATTTTGGTGCCTCCCAGGACAAATTCAGGACCTCCCCACCCCCTCCAGGACAACTTTAGGCTCTCCCCACTCCACCCAGGATAATTCTGGGGTTCCCCCCAGGATAATTTTGGGGTCCCCCAGGACAATTTTGGGCTCCCCCAGGAGGATTTCGGGGTTCCCCTGGATGATTTTGGGTTCCCCCAGGACAATTTTGGGTTCCCCCAGGACAATTTCGGGGTCCCCCAGGACAACTTTAGGATCTCCCCACCCCCTCCAGGATAATTTTGGGGTTCCCCCAGGACAATTTTGGGTTCCCCCAGGACAATTTCGGGGTCCCCCTGGATAATTTCGGTGTTCCCAGGACGATTTTGGGTTCCCCCAGGAGGATTCCGGGTTCTCCCAGGAGGATTTCGGGGTCCCCAGGAGGATTTTGGGGTCCCCCCAGGAGGATTCCGGGGTCCCCCCGGATGACTTTGGGTTCCCCCAGGACAATTTTGGGGATCCCAGGATAATTTTGGGTTCCCCCAGGATAATTTTGGGGTCCCCCCGCCCCCTCCAGGACAATTTTGGGTCCCCCCAGGACAATTTTAGGTTCCCCCAGGATAATTTCGGGTTCGCCCAGGACAATTTTGGGTTCCCCCAGGAGGATTTCGGGGTCCCTCCGCCCTCTGTAGGACAATTTCGGGGTCCCCCAGGATAATTTCGGGGTCCCCCAGGACAATTTTGGGGTCCCCCCGGATAATTTCGGGGTCCCCAGGATAATTTCGGGGTCCCCAGGACAATTTCGGGGTCCCCCCGCCCTCTGTAGGACGATTTTGGGGTCCCCCAGGAGGATTTCGGGTTCCCCCAGGACAATTTTGGGTTCCCCAGGATAATTTCGGGTTTCCCCAGGACAATTTCAGGGTCCCCCAGGAGGATTTTGGGTTCCCCCAGGAGAATTTTGGGTTCCCCCAGGATAATTTTGGGTTCCCCCAGGACAATTTTGGGTTCCCCCAGGAGGATTTTGGGTTCCCCCAGGACAATTTTGGGGTCCCCCGGATGATTTTTGGGGTCCCCAAGACAATTTTGGGTTCCCCCAGGATAATTTTGGGTTCCTCCAGGAGGATTCAAAGCCAGACCAAATTCAGGTTCAGAGACCCCAAAATCCCCAGCTCCTCCTCAGACAGCTGCTGCCTGAAACCCCAAAAACAGCCCCAAATTCGGGGTCAGAGACCCCAAAAACACCAAAAACTGCCCAAATTCGGGAGCAGTGACCTGAAAATCCCAAAACCAGCCCCGAATTTGGGATCAGAGACCCCGAAACCTCCCCCAAAACCACCCCGAAAATTACCCCCGATGCTCCAAAATTCCCCGAAATTCCCCAAAATTCCCCAAAATGCCCCAAAATTCCCCAAAATCCCCCAAAAATCTCTGAAATCTCCTAAAACAACCCAAAATGATCCCCAAATCCCCCCAAAATTCTGCAAAAAATGACCCGAAATCCCCCCCAAAAATGACCCCAAATCCCCCAAATTTTCCTCAAAATTCCCCAAAATGCCCCAAAATCTCCTAAAACAACCCCAAACCAAACCCAAAATCCCCCCAAAATGCCTCAAAATGACCCCAAAATCCCCCCAAATCCTGCAAAAAATGACCCAAAACCCCCTGAAATCCTCCCAAATCCCCCAAAATCCCCCCAAAACCACCAGAATCACCCCAAAACCCGCTAAAATCCCCTGAAATCACCCCAAAACCCCCCGAAATCCCCCCAAAAAATTCCCCAAAATTCCCCAAAATTCCCAAAATGCCCCAAAATGCCCCGAATGCCCCAAAATGCCCCAAAATCTCCTAAAAGAACCCCAAACCAAACCTAAAATGACTCAAAATTACCGCAAAATCCCCCCAAATCCTGCAAAAAATGACCCAAACCCCCCCGAAATCCCCCCAAAAAATTCCCCAAAATTCCCAAAATGCCCCGAAATGCCCGAAATTGCCCAAAATGCCCCAAAGTGGCACCCCTGGGTGGTGGAGGCGGTGACGCTGACCACCATGATGGTGGCGTTGGTCAGGATCTGCTGCACGTTCTCGTTGTTCTTGCACTTGTCCAGGGAATTGCCCAATTCCTGAGGAATTCACCCCAAAAACGGGACAGGCTCAGGGCAACGCGACATTTAAGGCAAAATACAGCGAAATTCCCGAAAAAATCCGGGGAGAAAAGGCCAAAATACAACAAAAAAACAATAAAAAAACGCCACCCCAAAATCCTGAAATATACAGGAAATATTTAAAAAAATCCATCCCAAAAAAACCCCAAAAAATCCCCAAAAAAAACCCAAAATCCCACCCCAAAAAAACCCAAAATCCCACCACAAAAATCCCCCCAAAAAAACTTCGAATCTCCCCAGAAAACCCCAAAATAAAAATTTAAAAATAAAAAAATCCCCAAAAAACCCCAAAAATCCCCCCCCAAAAAACCAAAAATCCCACCCCAAAAATCCTCCAAAAAAGGCCCAAAATCCCCCCCAAAAAATCGCCCCAAAACCCCCTCAAATCTCCCCAAAAAAACCCAAAATAAAAAAAAAAAAATCCCCAAACCACCCCCAAAATCCCCAAAAAATCCCCAAAAAACCCAAAAAAATCAAAATCCAAAAAAACAATAAAAAAACGCCACCCCAAAATCCTGAAATATACAGGAAATATTTAAAAAAATCCATCCCAAAAAAAACCCCAAAAATCCCAAAAAAACCCCAAAATCCCACCCCAAAAATCCCCCCAAAAAACCCAAAATCCCACCACAAAAATGCCCCCAAAAAAACTTCAAATCTCCCCAGAAAACCCCAAAATAAAAATTTAAAAATAAAAAAATCCCCAAAAAACCCCAAAAATCCCCCCCCAAAAAACCAAAAATCCCACCCCAAAAATCCTCCAAAAA